CTCCTCCTCCTTCTCCTCCTCGTCCTCCTCCTTCTCCCTCCTCCTCCTCCTCCTCTTTCTTCTCCTCTTCTTTTCTTCTTCTTCTGAGTTCTTTGCACTCTAAATTGAGAAAATTGGTAGAGACATATCACATATCATGTAGGGCTGATTGTTCAAAATATTTCAAATTCTGTGTATTGTCTGTCTGTGGATCTCTATATTTGTTCCCAACTGCTTTGGAAGAAATCTTCTCTGATGATGGCTGAGCAAGGCACTATTCTGAGCACAGCAGAACACCATTCCGAGTCATTTTTCACTAACTTTTTAGACCAGTATTATTTGGTTTTACCCTAGGTCCCCAGGCTATCTAGTGTGTGGTCACAAAAGCAGTGTCAGGTATGTGTTCCATTTCATGGAGTTGGCCTTAAGTAAAAAATATTGGTTACTTATTCACATGAGCTTTGTGGCAACATTACCCTAGCATGTGTTGAAGGTTGTCCTAATTGCCTGGTCTTGAATAACCAACTCAGAGCCTGAATGTGAATTATAAATGATTGGCTGATAGCTCAGGCTTGTTACTAGCTCACTCTCACCTTTAAATTAACCCATTTTAATCAATCTACATATTGGCAGGTGTCTCATAACTTTTCCTCACCTCTAGAATATCTTGCTTCTTGGCTGGCTGGCTGACATCTCTCCTAAATCTGCTTTCCTTCTTCCCATCATTCTCAGTTGGGTTTTACTGCCAAATTCCTACCCAGCTACCAGCCTGTCAGCTGTTTATTAACCAATGTGAGTAATATACATAGTGTAGAAAAGGATTGTTACACAAATTTTTCCCCTTTTTGTCTAATTAATAAGTAAAGGGTTGTTTTTTTTAAAGCTAGGTGAGTACTAACCAGCCTTAAAAGATGCTTGATTTATTTTATTATGTTTTTAAAATGGGAAAGGGCTGGAGAGTTGTCTTAGAAGTTAGGAACACTTGTTGCTCTTGCAGAAGGCCTGAGTTCTTCTATTTCTAGCACCTAAATGTTGCCTTAAAACCATCTGTAACTCTAGACCTAGGGGATATGATACATTCTTGTGACCTCTAGGGGAAAAAAAAAGAAAAGTTTTCACATTAATAGAGTAAAACTATATACAACTAAAGCAGTTATTAAGTAAGAATTACAGTAGCAATGTGTAATCCATTTACATTTGGCAAAATTCAAGAAAATACTTATCTATCTTATCTTGGTTTGTCTAAACTTTTGTATCTAATTTACTTTCTATTATAAATAAGGAAAACTATAATTATAACTCTTTAGTCCACCATTCTATCAAAGACGCCAGAAGTGTGAAAAGTTATCTAATGGCAGGGACCTAAGTTGCCTGGACCATCACCCAAAGTTCCTCTGTAACATTTGGTGCAGCTAACTCTGACCTACTGTATAAGCATATCTGCTGGGCTTTCCTGTGAAGCAGAGGATTTTGAAAGACTGTCCTACACTCTCTTGGAACAGAACAGCAGTCACCTTCCTTGCATCCTGTTGATCCAGCTTAGACAGTAACTGTCAGCAGTTGAGGCAAGGCAGCTTCTTTACCCCCATGGCTAGCTTTTACCATAAAAAAAACTCCATATGGTGTTTCTTCCATACCCATCATCCTCTTTGAATTAATTGGTGCTGCCAGAAGCAGACACATCACATTGTCAAGAAAAGTCAAAGTTCTTAAAACATTTTGAATATCGTATTCTTTGAAGTGTTTGAAGGTTCCTATCTATCTGGAATACGTCTCTCTATACCCAGAAGACCTATCTAACATGATTGTAAGTTTGCTATTATAGATAATTATTAATCTGTATTTCTTCACTATATATTACATTTTAAAATTAGCTGCATAAATGTAATATCTGAAATGAGTAAAAATATTCACATGGTATAAAAAATTAACTTTAAATTTGTATCAATAAAACAAAACCCATACCAATGTAAAATACATAAGATTAATACTTGTTTTTTATTAAAGAAGATTCAATAATGTACCATTTTATCCTAACATTTTATATCCCCCTTTTTTCTTTTCAGAACAAGATTCCCGAATCTAATCTCCTTGTTTAGCTTTTTTCCTGACCATTAAGTATTACAGCTTGTCACCAACCTCCCAAATGATGAGAAACATTCATATTTTTTGCTAATGTGGGTGTGGTTCTCTAGACCACTTCTTGTTGACTGTGGGTACTGGTAATCTTTTGGGGATCCTGAGAAAATTTAGCATTATGGTCACATTCATGACTGATGTTTTCTGTGATTCTGGATCATATCAGTCAGCAGCCTTGAAGTTGTTCTGATGCAGAACTCAGAGGCACTCTCAAACATTGCATCATGGGGGTTAATTTATCCCACTGGAAATTATTTAGGGTGTCTTCCTCATTCAAACCTGATTTTTATTAACCCAGAATAAATTCAGACCCTCTCATTTCCTGTGGAAATAAAAGCAGATCCTCTTTCTCAAAGTAACATATGTTTTAACTTAAATTTTGATATCAAGATATTTTAAAAATGTACAGATTTGTTTAAACTGGGAACTTTCATAATCAAATATCTCTTAACAGTTATCATTTGTTAATGAATAGTCAAAAAATTAAGACAACACAATAACATACAGTATCCAGACTCTCTGTGTGTTTTCCATATTTATGTGGCTTATTATTTAAGGAATTTACTTAATTTTAAAAGTATATCTTTTAATCAAGGACTATATATGTTCTTTTTACTCTCTCCTGAGCATATGCATATTTTTAAACACACTGTGACCTGTTTAGAGGCCCTTTTTGTCTGAATCTGTCCTTACTGCATATCTATAATCTTTTCTGACTGCATGAACAAAAAAACTGCAGTGTAAGTTAAATCATGGCATACTGGAGCTAGCTCCTCACTCATGATTCACTGAGAGTCTAGTCTCATGGCAGAGGCACATTTACCATCAGCATTGGGAGCCATGTTTACTTCCTGATCTCTGGGAAGTTTCTAGGTCCATGCTACCACAGAGTAGCATGTTGTCAATTGCTTATAAACACCATATAAGTTTTTGGTAATAGCCCCTACCCATTTTGCTGCTAGCACTAAGCCAGAAAGCCATCTCTTAAAGGAGACATCTGTGTGTTCACTGCCAGCAAATAGAGCCCACGAAAGAAAAATTACTACCAAGAAGCTCTGTTTGACAACATTCTTGTGTGTCTAGTATCCTTTCTTAAGCTTTGTCATATTTTAAGTGTAAATTTTGGCACATATTGGATGCCAAATGTAAAGGGACCTTTTCTATCCCAGCTGCCTAGTCCTAACTAACCAACTCAGAGGCTGAATATAAATTATAAATGCTTGGGAAATAGCTTAGGCTTGTTACAAGCTCAATCTTGCATTTCATTTAACTTATTTTCATTCATCTATGTAATGTCAGGTGGCTCGTGGCTTTACCTGTCCTCTAGCATGTCTTGCCTCCTAGGTGGCTGCCTGGCATCTGTCCTGACTCTACCACTCTTCTTCCCATCATTCTCAGTTTGGCTTTCCCATCTAACTTGCTGCCCAGCTACCTGCCTGGCAGCTTTTTATTAACCAATGTGAGCAATACATTTTAATAGTATAGAGAAGGGTTGTTGCACAACAGAGAGTGTTGTAGATCAAAGGATTTATGGCTGGCTTCATGTCAACATTTCTCTTTTGATAGTGTACAAACTGCATTCCAGTAATAATGCTGCTGAAAAGTAGGAATGAAAGCTCTATGTAGTTGCCAGCCAAGCAACTCAAAGTTTGATAAGTTGTGAAGGTGTTATCTTCAGCAATAGGGCCTTGCTGTCAGTTTGTGAAGAGCAGCCTATAGCATGTGTTCCTAAGGGTTCCAATGAGGTATATATGGCCAACAACTAAATTAGATATAAGCCAATCTCAGTAATAGAAAATTCCTTTGGTGAAAAGAGATGGCCGTTTGGAACACCATCTCCCCCATTATTAGGTCATATTATTTAGATGATTCTTATAAGTATACATAATATATTACGTTGCATATGTTCCCTCAAGTGTCCCTTATTTTAACTATGTCTCCCCATATTCCATCCTCCAAGTCTCTCTCCTTTTGCCCTCCCCATTAGATCATACCATTCCATCACTTACCCATTCATCAATAATTTGCCCTCTATGTTATAATTTTTTAGTAGTTATTACATTTTGAGGGGACTTTCATTACCAATTTTGCCTATTTGGTGTTCTGTATGCTTCTTTCAATTTGATAGGAATGTCCTTCTTTAGGTTAGAGAAATTTTTTACTGTGATTTTGTTGAAAATATTTTTGTGCCTTTGATCTGGGTTTTCTTCTTCTTCCACTATTCTTATTATTAGACTTGTACTTTTCATAGTGTCCCAGATATTCTGAATGTTTTGTGACAGGAATTTTTTAGATTCAACCTTTTCTTTGACAAATGTATCCATTTCTTCTATGTTGTCTTCAATGTCTGAGATTCCCTCATTCATTTCTTGTATTGTATTCATGAAGCTCACATCTGAGGTTTCTGTTTGAGTTCCTAAGTTTTTGTTTTGCAGATTTCATTCAATTTGGGTTTTTGATTGATTCTGTTTCCATTTTCAGGTCAGTGGTTTTATTCATTTCCTTCCACTGTTTGTGTTTTCATAGATTTCATGATGAGATTTATTTTGTCCCTCTTTAAGGACCTCTATTCTCCCCATACAGGCTATTTTAGGGTCATTTTCTTGTTCTGCACATATGTTGGAATACTCAGTGCCTGTTGTAGTGTAGTTGCTGGGTTCTAGTGAAGACATACTGTCTTGGATGTTATTCATTGTGCTTTTGGGTTATCATATAGTTATCTGGGATTGGCAAAATTGTAATTCTAGATGGTGATATCTTATCTTGTGTTTGTTGCGTTGGTGTTACCTTCCTTACTTTTTGTTCCTCTGTCTGATGCTTAGGAGAGTGTGGTGGGAATGTGTTGTTAGGAAATTCTTCTGGGATCCTGATAAGTGTGGCCACTGGGAGTTCTAGGTAAAATGTTTCCAGATATAGAAAGCTGACACATAGCAATGGGTTCATCTAAGAGAGGGTCATAAGAAGGTCAACAGGAGGAAAGACAGCAGAGTTTTCTGTAGGAGATGCTTAGTTAGTCACCTGAGAATGGGGCCACTGAGTGAGGTCAGGCTACCGCAGAAGGTTCAATATAAAGCTGTGAATAAGACTGAGGAAATTCTTGGAAGAATGGAGGGAGAGATGAACATCTGCAGTTAGCCTATTTGCTTTCCTGGTTCGGGTGGCCTGTAGGTGCTTAGGGAGTGTCTTCTGAATTTCAAGATTTGCTAGGACAAATCAAAGTGTAGGGAGAAGAAACTTTGGAAGTTAATCTTTGTGTTATTCACATGAGACAGTTACATTTAGTGAAGGGAGACTGTAGCATGTGTTCCACACAGAGCTGGAAAGGTGAGTAGTAGACTGGACTTGAAGGAGCAAATGAAGAGGTGAAGATCTGCATTTAGCCTAACTTCTTCCCTGCCCAGCTTGGACTGTGGATTCCTGGGAATGCATGATGGAGCTGAGGTGTTGAACAAATCAATGCATTGGTTTAGTGATGTTATGAGTAATCTGGGATATCCACTAGAGATGTAGGTGCCTAAGGCAGGTATTCTGCAGAGTTGGGAGCAACCCTAGGGGATTGGACTCAAAGAATGAGGAGGAGATGTAAATCTGTAGTTAGTTTACCTCTTAGCTGGCCACAGTGCTCTTTGGTCTCCAAAAGGGGGCCTGTTGGAGTTGGATGTTGGGATAGTACAATGAATTGGAAGACTGAGTTTAGAAGATCTATGGAATCCACTCTATATGGGAGGCAGGTTGACACAGATTTTCTGTGGCATAACTTGGCATGAGCCTGGGGAACTGGATCTGGAGGAGCACAGGGGAAGGTAGAAATCTGCACTCAGCCTACCTGCTTCTGTGGAAGGAATAAAAAAAATTGATCCTTTTTTTTTATTAAGGGGAGTCCAAAAAGTAATTTCTAGTGAAAAAAGTTAAGGAGTATCTAAAACAGGAAATTGGATTATTCAAAAGAAATTTGATCTCTTTTGGTATAATCCAGAAACAGAATTTACCACATAAGTATCAATGCAAAAGACTCATTTGTCTTTTAAAAAATCTTTCATTTTCTCATCTTAAAATTTGTCTCTGATACATGGTAGTGCAGTTTCCTGTAAGTCTCCTGTGCAACCATTCAACACATTCTTTTCTGTTATTGCCATGTTTTTTTTACCTTCCCATGATATATTAACTAAATCTGTGATAAAATATGAAATACAATTTTTGAGACAATGATACCCTTACATTCCCAGGAAAAAGCTGGTATTCAAAGCAAAATCCCAGATTCTGCCTTCTCATTACTATTTTCTAGTATTAACCCAGTTGTGGCAGTTGTAATTTCAGAATATGGGTATCTGAAGCAAGAAATCTGTGAATGTGATATCCATCTGAGTTACACCATGAGGTAAAGCTCAAAACAAACTAGTATCTCCAAAAAGTACCCCTAAGTAATAATTATTGAGATCAATCTTATGAAAGTGTAAAACTATAATATTCTCATTTACCCATAGGATACAGTATTACATGCTATAAACAATAACCTCTCTCAAATTATTTGTGCACATTGCCTTCATTCTCATGGATCATTGTCTAGAATTATTTCTATAAATCTCTTTGAACATCACAGGGTAGTTTGGGCATGGTGGTGCACAACTTTAATGCCAGCACTTAGGTGGCAAAGGCATGTAGGTGGATTTCTGAGCTCTTTGAGCTTGAGGTCAGTCTGGAATCAGAAGCAACTTCCATCTCTCCAGACAGAGCTCCATAGTGACATCCTCTCTCAACAAAAAACATCCCAGTACATTTAGTAGGTGGGTTATCACACACCTGTGAACACAGCATTACAGAGATGGAATCAGGAGCATCATATGTACAAGGACTTCATCCACTTTGAAATAAGTTTGAGAATAGCATTGGTTATATGAGTCCCTGTCTCTAATATCCTCTCCTCCCTGGAAGAAATTCCAGTCTCTGTCTTTTAGGGCTACAGATAAGCCACACTGAAGCCCACTCAATATACAAATGCTGTGTGGGATTCCTACCCTCTCTACATGGCCTGTTTCTTTCTGAAAACCTTTTCAATGTTTTCTCATTTCAAGTTGCCATATCTTTCTTCATGTCCTTTTTCATCCTCCATCCATAGTTCCCTTCTCTGTATCTGTTCTCTCAGAACTTTCTGTTGATTACCTTCATTTTTGTTTCTTCTTCTTTTAGGACACAAAGAGCACCATAAAGAAGATTTGTGACTTCCTAGGAAAAAAATTAGAGCCAGATGAGCTGGATATGGTCCTCAAGTACAGCTCCTTTCAAGCCATGAAAGAAAAAAGCATGTCCAATTATAGTCTGGTCCCTGAAGATGTAGCTACTAATGATTTGGTTCTCTTGAGAAAAGGTGAAGAAATTTTTGAGGTTTAAATTATGTCAGTACATGTGGAGGACATGTTGTTCCAATGAGACTCACAGACTTTAGAAGGGAATCATTCCATGGTGATGAGGTGGGCTTCAGTAGTTCTGAAAGATGAACACCTTGGGATTACAGATCTTTTTGTCCAATACTGTAAATGGAAAACAAAAAAGTAGACATGTTGTAGTAAGGATTTGTAAGGCTCCCTGTATCATAGACCTCAACTCTAAAGAAAACAGTTTGTGGGACCAAAGATATATGAGGGATGATAACCACAGAAAACACTTCCATTAATGCCTGGAAAAGATGTTGAATATGTCAAGATTGCTGTTCAACCCGAGGCTGACCATAGACTCCATAAGACTAAGCAAATTATTCACCAGTATTACAATATTATGGTACTTGCCAACCTAAATTTTGATTGCTTCAGGCTCAGGGCTACTCAGTTTGTTCTGAATTGCCTCTCCAGGAATGGAATTATACAACTTTTCTATTTCTGTGCTACCTATCTATGCTGGTAGCAGATTGCGGGTGTGATTTAATAGCTAAAAGTGGAGTAAGCTTTTACTCCATAGTAAAGTGGAGAGCAACTTTGCCAGAAAGAATCACAACTAGAGTGCTGCCTTTACCTAATTAGCAAATAATTAGTGAGATAGGACTTGGCATTGAAGAAGGAATGAATGAGATGTCAGGTCTTTGGGGACAAGTGAAGAACATGGGTATAAACTCAAGAAGTGGGGAGTTATGGGTTTAATTTTCCTTTTCCAATTATTTACATGGTTCAGCCTTAACCTTCAGTTCTCCTCCACTCTAGATTGTAAGGATCAGGTCCTCGAATATAAAAATATCATGAGTATACATATAGATAAGTGAGTTAAAGTGGAGGGCAGATTACATTTAATCCAATATTCCTGGTGTCCTCACAAGAGGAAGTTTGGGCTCAGATTTGAGCACACACACATTTTACTTCAAGAATATTGTCATATATAAACTATGGAGTGAGATCCCTGGAGAATCCACTGCTATTGACAGATAACCTCAGACTGCTGTGCTCCAGACTCTGTGGAGACAGAGTTGCCTGCACTAGATCTGAAGGTCCCACATAAGAAGAGATGTTGCTCATTCTTGAATTTCCTGTAATGAATTGGATTTTGGTAGAGGTAAAACAGTATATATACATAAAAAGCTTTAATGAAATGCAAAAAGGAATGAAATGTCTTTTTTAATAGGAAAAGGTGCTGTGGGATAGTCTGTATGTCAAATTACTCTGATTGGTTGTAGTTATTGACCAATCAGAGTAATTTGATAAAAACACTGATTGGCCAGTGGCAAGGCAGGAAGTGTAGGCAGGACTAACAGAGAGGAGAAAGGAGGGATCAGGAAGACAGAGGGAGGCACTGCCAGCCGCTGCCATGACAAGAAGCACCACGAGCCATGTGGCAAGGTATAGATTTATGGAAATAGATTAATTTAAGATATAAGAACAGTTAGCAAGAAGCCTGCCACAGCCATACAGTTTGTAAACAATATAAGTCTCTGTGTTTACTTGGTCGGGTCTGAGAGGCTGTGGAACTCGGGTGATAGAGATTTGTGCTGACTGTGGGCAAGGCAGAAAAACTCTAGCTACAGAAAAGCTATGGAAACTAACAAGTAAAAATTTTGTTAGAAACACAATGGAGCAGATGCAATAGAATTAAGGACACAATTCCATGAACAACTTTCATTTCCTCTTTTCCATGTAGATTCTTATAGGATGAGACCACAATGGGATTTTACTTAAGCCACTTCCAAAACTTAGTAATTTTTCATGTATCATATACTTTAGGAGTAACACACACACACACACACACACACACACACACACACACATACACACTATATATATATATATATATATATATATATATATATATATATATATATATATACATTAGTTCTGTCAAAACATCTGAACTGAGTCCATAATTTATTTATAGTAATTATATATGACATTCATTTCTTTTGTATTTGAAGATAAGTTTTACTCTGGGGAATTATTTTTCTTCTACTAACACTAATTATAAGCCATGAGTCCCAATGGAAACAAGGACATTGAAGGGGGAGACCAACTTCATTACTCACCCCAACCTGATTCATGACTTCATTATAGAGGATGCTGAGATGGATATCTGGGAAACGCTTTTGAAAGAATAAGATGCATGAGGATAGTGTTGGTCTTTTCAATTCCTACATCAGATTGGTTCCATTTTTTATTCCTTTTTTAAAAACAGATTTAATTCACTTTATTTTTCTTGTATAAAAACCCCTTATGTGGTGGCCACAGCTGGAGCCTGGGTTCTCGGAACAGACACTCTGGTGTGGGTTTTCACAAGATGGTCAGTGAATTCCTGATAAGGAGATTTGGTAAACACAGTCTCTTTCCAGATGTCGGGGGTCAGTATCTGTAGGTCTTGGAGATGGCATCAAAAGTGACCTTGGCAAAGTTGCCCAGGGTGGCAGTGCAGCCCCTGGCTGACGTGTAGCAGTCATCAATACTGGCCATCATCAGTAACTTCTTAGGCACAAGAAAAGAGATGATGCAAGTGCCTCTGGGGGCAGGGATGAGACGCACCAACACAGAGCCACAGCAGACTGTCACTTTGCACGGGACAGTGTGGGGCTTGCCAATCTTGTTCCCCCAGTAGCCTCTCCACACAGGGACAATGGACAGCTTGGCCAAGATGATGGCCCCTCAGATGGCAGTGGCTACTTCCTTGGAGCACTTCACACCAAGACCAACATAACCATTGTAGTCCCCAATAGCGACAAAAAGCCTTGAACCTGGTCTGCTGGCCAGCCCGAGTCTGCTTCTGCACTGGCATGATCTTTAGAACCTCATCCTTTAGGGATGCACCCAGGAAAAAGTCAATGATCTCAGATTCCTTAATGTGAAAGGAGAACAGGTAGATCTCCTCCAGGGACTTGATCTTCATGTCCTTAACCAGGCGGCCCAGCTTGGTGACGGGGATCCACTCCTTGTCTTCAGCTTTACCTCCACGAGCCCTGGGGCCTCGACCATGGCCACAGCCTCAACCATGACCGCGGCCCCTAAGACCGCTGCCGAATCCTCCACAGAAGCCGCCGCGGCCTCCTAGTCTTGGGCCCTCGGGTCCTCCGGGCCCACCCGCTGCACCGGCATCGTCCGCCATTTGGTGTCTTCCCAAGAAGAAGAAGCCCATTATTTATTCTTGGAGGTATGAGCAGAACAAAGATTAATGCTAAAATTAATTTAATTACTTACCAGTAGATACTTAATTCCCTAAATCATTATTCATGAAAAGCTTTGCTAACTGTTACAACTGGCCTTAAGTGGGAAGAATTCTCTAGAACTATTTTCACTGTCCTTTCATTACTCTTCTCAGGACCCAAGAAAAATACCTCTTCTTACCTCTGTAGAGCTACTATGAGAGCTACTCTTTACCTGGGAGGCTCAGTGGAATGAATATGGTTGTAAGTTTCGAGCAACAATTTCCTACAAACAATTTAATCATTATGAGTCCATATTTTGATACTGAGGGAAATACTGATGAGAGAGATTGTCATTCCCATTCATTTACTGTTCAGTTGACACAACATTGTCCTAATGAAGACATGAGGAAGCAAACATCTTCTGACAGGTGAAGAGAACAGCCTTTTTTGTTATGGACTAGACAGGATGGTTTACACAGGATGTCTTGGCAGTGGAATCAAGTAGGAGTTGACTTGGGGCATAAGGTTCTACTGTCCTGCTCTGTGATTGGTTGGTTTCATAAGTCATTTGGCCAAGAGCAGAGATGGCTCTGATCTGACTGAGCCAAACTGTGCTTCTTTCTGCCCTGATCTGAGACTTCTTTCCCTAGGTATGGGCTTCAGGGTCAGTGTGGTTTTCTTTATCCAGCCCCATTTCCCTACAGAAATCATATGCTACCAAGTAAAATCTCAGTACCAGGAATTCATTACATCTTGTGAGTAGTTGGTCAAACAGGTCCCACACACCCCCTAGAGGAATAAATACTACCAATGATGTTTGGAGAGACACAGGGAAGCATAGTATCTCATTTTTATCTAAAATAATATATAATGTGCATGTATTAACATGTATTTTAAAGATGTCATGCAATTTGTAACGATAACACTCCCTCCAATGCCATGGACTATAAAGGAAAACTCTAGTACCATGTATGAGAAACCTCCTCTCGAGTTGCTCAGGGTACTCCAAGTGACCTCAAAAACAATACCAAGTATTATTGCCCTTGATTGATTGGCACACAGAACTTGGATTACAACTCTGTTGCTGAAGTCACAATACACTTCAGACACAGAATTTGGAGGAATTGAACTGAAATTGACCTGGAAGCTCTTCTGTGAAAAGTGGATTTCATAAAGTGAAAAGCTGCCAAGGAGAAGAGCAATCATTAGGCTTATCCAGGTGTGTTATCTTTGAACCATAACAATAATGCAACTGGCAAGATATCCATGATGATGCAATAGTGGAACTTTTATCTTGGAGGTTTCAAGGGTTGTCTAATTGAACTTAATTGAACTTAAGGCACACTCAACAAGTGGGAAGCCATGTCTGCCACTGTACACATAGACAACCACTTGGGCCTGGAACCACATAGATCTAAGGGGTGAACCTGCTACTGCAAGTATCAGAATCCAGTATAGTTTCTGTCTGTTTTCTTAATACCTGTCTCTTACAGGCAGATAAATATAATTCCCACCCTCATCAAATAAGCTTCTTTTAGCAACATATGGAGACTATTACAAAGTCCCACAACTGGTCAAAATGCAGATAATAATTGACCATAAGGTGCCCACCCACAACTGATATATCTGCAATGAGTCCATTCAACCTAAGACTTGGAAAAAACACAGAAGAGGTGACAGACAGTCCCTTGTTGGTGGTATATATACCCTAGATGTGACAGGAAAATAAACATGTGAACTCCCAATAGTATATTTACAGAAATGTACAACCATAATCACACCAGTTGGTATAGAAATAAGGACAGAGGAAACTCTACATGGTCTTTCCTCTAGATGAAGGAATACAGCAGGTCAACAACTGCTGAATGAGAGAATCAGCTGCCTCAGTAGGGAAATCCCATATTGGTGTTCCAATCACAAGTGCTCCACTCTGAATACATTCACATACAAATAGAACTAATTGGACTCAGTAGGTTATATTTACATGTAATCATATAAATATACATATACATAAACTGAAAAGTAAAGAAGAGATCATAAATACAGGAAGGGAGTAAGGCATTGGAGTGGGGATTGTAAGGGTGGGAGCCACATACCACAGCTAAGGAATTGAGTTTCTCAAAAACAACCACTACTTTTTTTTTAAAAAAGGGTTTCATGTGGTAACATTTTGTATGATCTCTGTCACTTTTATGCACATTTTAAACCATTTTGAAAACTGATTTTTATTAGAAAACATTTTAAATTAAGCCCCATTTTTATGCCCTAGTACTTGTTATTGTGTTTTTGGTTTTGGGTCATGAACTACTCAGGCTCACAAATATTGCAGAATGATCTCTGAATGTGTTCACAATTGCTCAACACGACAACCTTTGACAGGTATTGCATTATTTCTTACTGTCAGTAGCTAGTTTTATAATGAACTGTGGGGTGTTACTGATTTCTTTGCCTGCGTTATAAATATTACCTCTCAACATTTGCTAGAAGCTATAAAGGTGGCTAAATATATAATCCTAACAGCACCCACAAAGAGCTCTTTGCCATGTCAGACTACCTTTGGTTTGAAGGGATACCTTTCCCTGTTATAGAGTATGAAAAAAAAATAATTGAAGAATCTCGTGATAAGTTTGTCATCAGAGATGAAGACACAGTCATAGTGACTTACCCTAAATCAGGTAAGAACTGTTAGCGAGGATGCTCCTGAAGTGTATGAGGAAGGATAAGGCTTTGATCCTCATTCATTTGGGCAATGAGTGGCATGCTCCATATATCTGATGTTTAAAATATTGTGTGGACATGGATTGCTGTGTGTGAGTGCATTTAAGTCAGAGAAAGAACTCCAGCCTGGTCTGTGTGGGGAGAGGGTTATCTAGGCCATGTGAGCAATGCCAGTGGATCCTAAGGGAGATTCTGGCATTATTCTGTCTCTGTGTGGAGGAGAGTGTGAGGGGAAAATGAGGAAAATAAACAGAAGAAATAGCACCAAGGTATAAAGGCATGGATGTAAGAATATGTGGAGTAGAGGACAATGTCAGGTAGAAGAAAAATTACCATGTACCTTTTCCAGTGAGTGGAAACAGTCTCAAAATTCAAGGAACCAAAAAGAAGTAGCATGGGTTATGGGGAGGGTTGTTTGCTGGGTGGCAGAAGCACTGAACATAGGTAAGTTTTACATTGCTAATACTGATAGTGAAAGAACATGGAAAAGCCAAGGGTGGTGGAATGCATGAAGAAGATTCATACAATGACCCAGAGAAGAGAGCTAGAGAAATACCCAAGGACAAGTGAGCATGTAAACATGAATACAAATGGGTATGGTAAATACACAGAAGTGGATTTATTCACCTAAAGAGAAGCAGTACTCATACACATACTGCAGCATGGATGCATCTCAATTGCTTTGTATTAAAAGAAGGGAGCTAGTCTCAAGGACAGAGTCCACAATTGCATCCCTGTGAAGTATCTGGGAAAGTCAAACTCACAGCACCAGAATGTAGAATGATGATGGCCCAGGACTTGAGTGGACTTTTAGGTGGAGTTAATTGAGTATAGTGAAGCATTAGCAATAAGCCGGATGAATATACTTTGTACTTAGAGCATGTGAACATTGTAAACACCACAGGCCTGTGTGCTTGGAAACAGCTGCACTGTAAATTGTACAGGTGTACAATTTTCTTCTTGAGGCTTTTTAACAAGTACTGTTGAAATGAGTGACCATTACTTTTCCTTCTTCAGGAACTAACTGGATGAAGGAGATTGTCTGCTTGATTCAGACCAAGGGGGATCCCAGTTGGATCCAATCTGTGCCTATCTGGGACCGCTCACCCTGGATAGAGAGTCAAAGAGGATATCAACTATTAATCAATAAGGAAGGACCACGCCTCATCACCTCCCACCTTCCCTTCCATTTTTTCCCCAAGTCTTTCTTCAGTTCCAAGGCCAAGGTCAGTGTCCAGTTGTTGAGAAATCTTTGTCCAAATGTTCTTTGAATTTCATCTACCTTGGTGGGCCCTGGAGCTCTTGATGAAATGCACTCAGATTGTGTAGGTTGTGGGTGGGAACATGAGATTCTCATGCACTAACTAAGTGATGCAGATGTGTCTCTTCCTCAAACTACATCAGAGTACCAGAATGTCAAGTACCACACAGTGATCCTGGGCAGATATATGAAAGAATGTGAAATATCAACTAGAGCATTCAGGAACTACACATACAAGTCAAGCAGACTTCAAATTCTAGTGTACATTAGACATTACCGTTTTGCTGTCATCAAAGTCAATTAGCTAATCTTGATTCTACATAAATCCCATGAGCAGTGTGTGAATCACTCCAGACAGAGTTACTCATAGGGGAAGCAGCCTGACCAGGTATCAGTGCTGTAATCATGAGATTGTTCAGCAGTCACGGCCCAGTTGTACCCACTGTGTGTTGTATCCAGCTGTCCATTGAGATCAGTAGCCACAGGAATCACCCACATCACTGATAGAGGATCTTCAGAAGGGATCAGAGAAATGCAGGTTCTGACCTATCATAGTTTCTAGTTAGTAAGAAAGTGTTCTGAAATTTTTTGCACAATTGAACTTAAAAATATTTTATAGTTAAAATACAAAGACAAAACATAGAAATATTATCTCGCTTGAAAATCACAATGAAGTTGTGAACATTATATGCATGTGTGTTATGTGGATTTGACAAAATCTTGGCTGGAGAAACTGAAGTCTGAAGAGTTTTATTCTAGAATAATGTTACAAAGAGCATTGGTACAAATTATGAATTTCCTTTTACTAAAATGATTGTTTATTTTTAATTTGTTTCTTTTATTTTTTTGAGATTATAACATAAATACATACATCATTGCCCCTTCCTCCCTCCAAGCTTTTCTCCTTTCTCTCTTTCAAATTTGCAGTATCTTTCTTCATTAATTGTTGTTACATCTGTATATGTCTCTACATATTTCTCAGTATTAAAATACAGTCTGAGCAAGGTGATGGTGGCTCACACCTTTAATACCAGTACTCAGGAGGCAGAGCCAGGCAGATCACTGTGAGTTTGAGGCCACCTTGGTCTACAAGGTGAGTTCTAAGAAAGGCACAAAGATACACAAAGAAACCCTGTCTCCAAAAAAAAATTAATTAAATACAATCTGCTCAGTCTATAAAATGTTACTTCTTTGTATGTTTTCAGGGCTGAACATTTGGAATTGCATAATCAATTGTTATGCTTTTCCCAGGTAAAGTCTATTTCTCCGACTCTCTGCATTTCTGAGTTGCCTGTAAGTCTTTGTGTTCACTATTGTGCAATGACACATTAGCTTTGAGAGCTGCACAATGATTCTGTGAAAGTTACATTTGGTAGTTACAGTTGTGGACAACAATTAGGGTTTCATATTGCAGATAGATTTAGCACAGTACTCATGTCTGTGTATATAAGATGTTCTTTCACAGTGGATGGATGGTTTTTCACACTGTAAGATATTGATCTTTACAAATACAGGATCAGTCTTAGATTATAGTTTTATTTTTTAACCTGTTAGTGACCTGAGCAATTTTGCTGTTACATGTTTGTAAATGAAATAAAATTATGAAAGGGGATTATCACTATAGATAGTTTACACTTATGTAAATATTTTGCCCAAATAAAAATAATTAAATTTTTAGAAACCTCATGGAGATTTGATTGACATTTCATATAAATTGTGCCAGTTAAAAGGTTTGAAATTACTAAGTTGACCTTCATGTACATGTTTTTCTATTTAAGATAATCTATGTCATCAGAAATCCCAGAGATGTTCTTGTGTCTGGTTATTTTTACTGGAGTAAGACAAAATTTGTTAAGAATCCATACTCGCTGACAACTTATTTTGAATGGTTCCTCAAAGGAAATGGTGAGTGTTGTATTAAATATAGGACTTGTGGGAGGTGCAGAGATATTTTTAGTGACAAGGTAAAATATAGCTCATGTTGGCCTTGAACTCTATATATTCAGGGACATTGTTGAAGCTCTGCTCCTCCTGCATCCACTTCTTGAGTTATAGGACTAAAGGTACCTACTACCATGTTCCATCAATTTAATGCTGGCGTTCACTTTCAAGATTATGTATTTTATTTAACTTGATTATGGTCCAAGCTTCTAGTATATTCAGTAGTCTTCACTTGGCTTCATCTTAACTCTCTATATTTGACCAATATGTGCTTCCAAATCTCATCACCATTTTGAACCTAATTGTGAAGTATTCCTTTTTTTCACACACCACTACACAACAGGACACAGCCACAGCTTGCCCATAACACATCATCCCAACAACGTTTGCAGTATCTTGTCTTTCCACTGCTAAGGCAGGTGTTATAATTTGTGGTATTGAATAAAAAATGTCTCAAATAGACCTGTACATTTGAACATCTGTTTCCCACTTGCTGGCACTGTTTCAGAAGATTTATGAGGCACAACCTTACAGGAGGTACATCACTAAGTGTGGGCTTTGAGGGGTTCTAAATTATTTTTTTAATTAAATTTATTCATGTATTCTATATCATGTCCAGTTTCCCCTCCCTCTTTTCCTCCAATCCTCTCCATGTACCACTTTCCCTACCCCATACCCCAATCAACTCCTCCTCTGTTTCTGTTTAGAAAGGGGCAGGCCTTAGCATGGGTGTCAACAAAGCATGGCATATCAAGTTCAGGTAGGGCTAAACTCCTCTCCTTGTATTTAGGCTGGACAAGGTAACCTACGATGAGGAATAGGTTCCTAAAAGTCAGCCAAAAAAAGGGATGGGACCTGCTTTGATTACTAGGAGTTCCACAAGCAGATCAAGCTAAACAAATATCACACATGTGTAGAGGCCCTAGTTTAGTTACAGTGAGGCTTCCTACAGTCCATAGACTGTGAGCTCCCATGAGCCTATGTCATTTGTTTCTATGGGTACCCTTGTGATGACCTTGAGCCATTTGACTCATGCAGTCTTTCCTCTGTCACTTCAACAGGATTACCTGAGCTAGGCTCAGTGGGTCTCTCTATCTGGTTTCTTCAGTCACTGGAGGAAGGCTCTCTGATGACAATGTGGGTAGTTACCAACCTGATTACAGGAAGTGGCCAGTTCAGACTACCTATCCACTACTGCTAATAATCTTAGCTTGAGTCGTCCTTTTAGATTCATGGGAATTTCTCTTACCAGTTTTCTACCTGATCACAAAAGCCCGCCATCAAGATGTATCTTTCATTATTCTCCCAATCCAACTATGGCCCTCAACCTAATCTATCATGTTCCCATCCCAGTCAACCCAGGAGATCTCTCCTATTTTCCCTTCCCAGGAACAGCAGTACATTACCATCTTTTTGGACCCTCCTTGTTACCTAGTCTCTATGGAGCTGTGGATTGTAGCTTGATTATCCTTTACTTTACAGCTACTATCCACTCTTGAGGGAGTATAGACCATGTTTCTTTTTCTGTGTCTGGGAAACCTTACTCGGGATCATTTTTTTCTAGTTCCTCCAGTTGCCTTCAAATTTCCTGATGTAATTGACTTTAACAGCTGAGTAATACTCCATTGTGGAAATGTACCACATTTTCTTTGTCCATTGTGTGGCTGAGGAGCACTTAGGATATTTCCATGTTCTGGCTATTGTGAAAAACGCTGCCATGAACATAGTTGAACAATGTTCTTATGGAAAGATTGAGTGTCCTTTGGCTATATGCCCAAGAGTGGCATTGCTGATTTTTATGATAGATTGATTCTCAGTTTTCTGAGAAACCTCCATAATGATTTACAAAGTGGCTGTACAAGTTTGTACTACCACTAGCAGTGGAGGAATGTTCCCCTAGATCCACATCAAAGGTTAAGTTAAGTCACATCCAGTTTTTTGTCTCTGCTTCCTGAATGTAGTTGAGGAGATGACATCACAGCTTCCTGCTGCTATAGCCCTGCATGCCACTTGTTGCCATTGCCTCCTTTTATTTATTGTTATCCATCTAGAAGAATAAGCCAAAATTAATCTTTCTACTTATTAAGTCACCTTTGTTCATGATGCTTTGTCACAGCAAAAGAAAAATAACAAATGTGCTTGTCTTCCTACCACACAACTCACTTGTGGATTCTCTTAGTCTTTTTTTATTGGCTTCAAATACATTATCCTAACTGTCCACTGTTTTGATAACAAGCATCTTTCCAAATATTGTAAATCCTATTTTCTTTATTTTCTCAAAAGCATTTTCATAGACATGGATTCTTAACACTTTTTATATAGCTTAACTTTTATTGAGTTATAATAATTATATATAATAACCAGTTTCATTATGACATTTTCATACATGTGTGCAGGTAATTTTGATCAAAGTAATGGCCCACTATCCTCTCTTCTCCTTTTCCCACTTTTTCTGATCCTTTTCCTCTTCCCAAGTAGCTCTGCTTTCTATTTCCATGTCCCTTTTCTGCATGTGTGTGTTTGTGACCCAGTGAGGTCCATTGGGGTTGCTTACTTGAGCAGAGGGAAGGAGTCATTTACAGGAACATGGGTGTCTCACCAGTAGCTCCTATACTGAAACAAAAATACCTGTCCTTTCACTAGCAACTCACTTGTGGATTCTCTTAGTCTATTTTTATTGGCTTCCATACATTATCCTGACTGTGTACTATTTTGGTAAGATGCATCTTTTCAAATATTGTAAATCCTATTTTCTCAAAAGTATTTTCATAGGCATGGATTCTTAACACTTTGCATATAGTTCAACCTTTATTTAGTTATAATAATTATATATAATATCCAGTTTCATGATGACATTATCATACATGTATGCAGGTAATTTTGATCAAAGTAATGGCCCACTAACCTCTCTTCTCCTGTTCCAACTTTTGCTGATCCTTTTTCTCTTCCCAAATAACTCTGCTTTCTACTTCCATGTCCCTTTTCTTCATGTGTGTGTTTGTGACCCAGTGAGGTCCACTGGGGTTGCTTACTGGAGCACAGGGAAGCAGTCATTTATAGGAACATGGGTTTCTCACTACTAACTCCTATACTGAAACAAAAATACCTCTCCCTCCACCAGCAACCACTAACTGCCTATAGACTGTGGAAGGATGGGGGTGATATGAGCCCTGACCCCTAACTTCACTTGACTGCTCATAAAGCCACAGGAAATTGGTGGATACTTAGGAGAACTTTTTCTCCCCTTGACAGAGTATTTTAGGTCCCAGTCTTATGCAGGTCTTCTGCAGTAATCCCAGCTACTAAGAGTTAAAATGTACTCTGGCCATGTCATATCTACAAGACAATATTCCACAGCATTCTACTCCATATTTAAGCTTTTGTATTATTTCCACACCTTCTTCCTCCATGTTCCTAAAGCCTACATGGGAGGGCATCTAGATCATATCATTTTGTGAGCACTAAAAAAGACACTTATTCTCAGCATTTTGGCCAATATGGGGTCTCCAAAACTACCACTGTGCTACAAGAAGAATCTTTTTTTAACCAAGCTAACAGTAGTGATATATAAGGAGAAACATAGCTATTTGGAAGAGAATTTGATGTGCATATCAATTCCATTCAGCAGAACAACAGTGATAGCTTCAACACTAGGACCTATGCCCTCCCCAGCATAGATATTCAATGAATTTGACTACACCACATTTGAACTCTTCTCAATCAGAAAATGATTGGTTACCCTGATACCACAATTTCCATTATTACACTAGTGGACATATCTTGTAAGACTGTTTGAAGTATAGATCACAGTGTACACAGCTGAGTATGACTGTTGACAAGAGTCTCCTACAATCAGACCGCACAACAATTTCTGGCACTATCAGAGCTATTACACAGGAAGGCATATTTCAGCCCATTCCAAGGTTGCTTTCTTTAAATACTGTGATAAGAATATGAGGATGTGTTTATAAATAGGGTCTTACTAGCTAGTTTTAGGGGGCACTGACAACAGTGACTATTGCCTATTTTATTTGGTTCCTCAGGCTTTACTAGGAAACAAATCCTAGGGAGGTATCCCAGCACTACCAATGGAGTTTTCACATAATAACCTATGACTCCTGGAAGCAGTATTGTACCTTGACTTATATGTTTTAATGAGCATAAAAACTAATGAGTTTCCATAAGGCATTGTCATATATTCTTGGTTTTGGTTTTGGTTTTGGGGGGTTTTGTTGGTTGGTTGGTTGGTTTTGGTTTTTTGAGGCAGGGTTTCTCTGTGTAGATGCGCACCATTCCTGGAACTCACTTTGTAGCCCAGGCTGGCCTTGAACTCACAGAGATCCACCTGCCTCTGCCTTCCAAGTGCTGGGATAAAAGGAGTGTGCCACCACTGCCCAGTGGTTTTGGTTAATTTTACCCCTCATCCTCTCACGCCATCTTCACACTAACCTACTCAGTCTCATGTTCCCTCCATTCACATTCATACCAGAGGTATTCTGGAATTTCTCTGTCTTTAAGATCTCTTTTTTCATGTTCCTCTCCTAATGCCCCCCTTTCCAGTTTCTTGTACTTAATATGCACTTCAAGTTAAACATACGAAGAATTTGTCTAGGGTCTTTATATGAGACAGCACATGAAATGGTTGTCTATCTGTGCTGGGGTTACCTCATTAGGTATATTTTCCAGTTCCATCTATTTTACTGAAAATTACATAATTTCATGTGTATAGCTGAGTGAAATTTAATTGTGTATACACATTACAATTTCATTATCTACTTTACAGTTGATGGCATGTAGGGTGAACCTGTTTCCTAGCTATTGTGAGTGGAGCTGTAATTAACACGGATGTTCAAACACCTGTATAGTTGTACCTAAGTATATAGTAGATTATACCTAAATAGTTTGAGTATATACCTAAGAATTGATAGCTGAGACATATGGAAGTTCTCTTTTCAACTTTATAGTAAACTGAAAACAGTGTTTTCAGTAAGGGTTGGGTCAGTTTGCATTTCCACCAGTATTTCCTTTTCCCCATATTTTCCTCTTAAAATTTTAAAAAACTAAGCTTTATTACAAAGAAACTTGTAAATAAGCAAAAACAAGATAAATCCAAATTATGAGACTCTAAGCCTATAAACTTAATGAATATAAATTGTATATAAAATACAGTTAGATTTGATACTCAAAGAGAAGCTGCTAAGAGTAGATTAAATGTTTCACTTTCAATATCACTTATATTGCCCTCAATTTTCCATCATCAAAACCAAAAATTCATGACAAATTTACAACTAGAACACAGCAGCCTTGTATTGTCTTTTAACACTCTCATCCATTATCTGCATCTACTCCTTTCTCACCCCCTTATAATTGGATTTTCTTCTCTTTGCTCCACACTTCAAACATTTGTTGTCATTTGATGTCTTTCCCTTTTCTTTTTCTTTTCTTTTATTCCTTTTCTTTCAGATAGGGTTTCTCTGTATAACTGTTCTATCATGACTTGTTTTCTTGGCAATAGCCATTCTGACTGGGGTAAGATGAACTCTCTAACTAGTTTAATTTGTATTTTCCTGACAGCTAATGTTGTTGAATATTTAAAAAGTTAAAAATGCACATGAGGCATTGTTTTTCATTTTTGGCAACACTGTTAAGTTCCATGGCCCAAGTTTTGCTCCAAGATTATTTCCATAATCTTGAGTGTTTGTTCCTTGTTTGTTTGTTTTTCCGTAGATACTAGATAGACATTGTCTGAGAGCATGTAGTTGACAAAGATTTTCTTCAAATTTGTAGGTTGTATATTCACATGATTAATGATTTCCTTTGGTGCATAGAAGCCTTTTAATTTCTTGAAGTCCCCTTTGTTTATCTGACTTATTTTCTGAGTAGATGAGCATCATTTAGAAAGTCCTTAACTGTGATTCCATTTCAAAGTGGACTTATCTTTTTTCTAGCAGTTTCAGAGTTTTAGATCTTCTGTTGAGGTTCTTAATCCATTTGGAATTGTAGTGAATGCACGTGTGTGTGTGTGTGTGTGTGTGTGTGTGTGTGTGTGTGTGTGTGTGTGTGTGTGTGTGTGTGTGTGTGTGTGTGTTTTAAGAGAAATTAAGATATAAATAAACTCCTCTACACATAGTAATCCTGTAAGTAAATTGGCTGCAATTCTGTGGGTTTGCTTCTGGGTTTTGGCACCAACAATGTAAGAATATTTGTTGCAACAACTCTGGGGAAAGGTGTCCTGACTTCCTAGGGGTCAGGCAACAACTTGGGCTGCTTAGGATAGCTCTGATACCTGAAGCTACAAGGAGACAGTTCAGCCCTGGAGGACAAGGTATCCAAACATCTTGAGCTGTTCAGTGAAACAGCTCTGCCCTGAAGGTATCCCAGACACCCGGAGCTGTTTAGCACAGCTATGATGGCTGGAACTGCAAGGAGACAGTTTATCCCTGGAGGACAAGGTATCCCGGAAACTTCAAGCTGCTCAGAACAAGAGCTCTGTCCTGATGGTGTCTTGGATACCTGGAGATGTTTAGCACAGCTCAGAATACAAGAACTGCAAAGAAGTAGCCCAACTCTGGAATGGAAATTTTTCTCACTTCTTGGGAAAGTCAGGCCTAGAACTACTTCAGCAAGGAAGGATACTCTGACTGTTTGGGAAAGTCAAGGTATATGTAGTATGATGGGGATGGTCTTCCCACAGGATATATCAATCCTGCTCCTCTCCTAGAGAGCTGCTACAGCTGAACTTTGCTCAGGTACCTCTTAAGGGGCATTCCTAGCAGAGCTCTGCTTCCTGGTAAGATTCATTTTATGTTTTTTGTTTTTGTTTTTGTTTTTGTTTTTGTTATTTTGTTTCACTCTGCAAGTGAGGAAACCTCTGCAGAAATGTAGCAATCTCCTCTGGCTCTGGAGAAAAATGTTACTTTTCAGCTTTCTTGCTCTGTCCACTGAGCTTCCCGGTTTTGGCACCAACATTGTAAGTATATTTGTTGCAACAACTATGGGGAAAGGTGTCCTGACTTCCTAGGGGTCAGGCAACCCCTAGAAACCCCTCAGCAAATGTCTTCTATTCAGGTTATCCTTGCTCTGGTCTTTCAGCTCCCCCTTGTTTTGTCCACTTCAGGATGTCTCAGCAAGGATCTTCTCTATGCCAGTGAATGATGATCTTCACACTCAAAACACATTTGAGAAAGAGATTTGTTGCGGAAAGAGGTGTCCGGGAGAGTAGCTGCCTCTACCATGGTGGAGAGAACAGCCTTTCTTCTAAATGACCAGGCAGGGTGGTTTACACAGGATGTCTTGGGCCTGGATTCAACTAGGGGCTGACATGGGGCCCAGGGTTCTACTGTCCTGCTATGTGATTGGTTGGTTTTAAAAGTCAGTTGGCCTGGGCAGAGAGAGCTCTGATCTGACTGAGCCAAACTTTGTTTCTTTTTGCCCTGTTTCTGAGTCATCTTTCCCTAGTTCTGGGCTCCAGGGTCAGGGTGGGTTTCCTTAGCCAGCCCCATCTCCCTACATTACTCCGTTTTTGTTTAGTATTAAGCATCTGTGGGTTGTAAAAGGGGCAAAGTTATAGTTAGACTACTTCCTGCTGAATTGGGGTGTTGAGGTTCTTGGGACAGTCTTGATGCTCCTCCTAATGATGTAATCAGGTTCTGCAGATCCCTGGCTTTATTAATAAGGGCTGGTAATCCTGTAATATTAACTGGTTCAGCATTTGGTTAGAAATATTTTGGATATGTTGCTGAAGAAAACTAGCACAGAGTTTTATGAGGCAGGGTGCAATTAATAAGACTAAGAAAAGGAAGAAAAGAAGTGATAAGAATGGTAGCATCCATTTCTGTATCTGACTATTAGTGATCTGCTGTCTGGGGGTATCAAGCTGTTTCTGAGTTTGAAGATCTACTTGGAGTTGTTGGATCTTATCTTTCACTACCCCTGATTGATGAATATAAAAGCAACATTCTTCACCAAAAAAGAGACAAAGACTATTTCTTGCTGCTATTAATAAATCTAATTGTCTCTAGTTTTTCAGTACTACAGTGGCCAATGACTCTATTTGTTCCTGAAGAATAAGGGTAGTCTTAGCTACCTGTTGGAAATCCTGGCTGAATTGTGAGGAAAACCAATGGTAAATATCTAGGGAAGTAGTCATTCCTACTGTTCCAGTGGTTATACATGCAGTTATGCCCAGGGATGCTGGAAAGTGTATTATTTGGATGGCTCATTTGTCATGCCTTGCTGCTATGAACTTGGTCATGGGAATTGGCAAGGTTTCTTCACCAGCTACCATGCCTAATTTAGGTAACAGGAATACCATGGCACAAGTCCCAGAGCACCTATTAGGTGATCAGTAATAACCTTGAGTACAACAGAAAATAGAGGGATTGTGAATGTTTGGACATAGGGGCTAGGTGATAGTACCGTGGGTAATGGTATTATTGCAGTCTGCAGAATTGAGAGTACCTACAAAGTGTATTCCTAAAGAGTTAAAGCAGTCTGTAGTGCCAAAGAGAGGAATGTGAGAGAGATAAGGGGTAGCAGTGACTTTTAGCTTACAGCCATTAACAAGTGGTAAGGTGAGAGAATCTAATAGGACAATGGGTGAGGTCACAAATGGTGTGTGAGCATTTGACCCTGGAAGGACACTAACCAGCAATCTCCAAAATGGTCAGCCTGAGCTCATTCAATAGTTGATATGCAGTAATTAGGGTCTGAAACAAGAGATGGTGTAACAGGCAGGTGGGATAAAAAGGATGACATTAAGGATGTAAGAGCCTTTGAGGAACTTGGACCACTTCTACTCAATCCATTCCTAGAGGTTGAGAGAGTCGACTCTGTTCCCTCTATATTTTTGAGCATATCTGGTGGGCAAATTTGATAGATGCTCTAGTAAAGCTTCCCAATGACTCCCATTTTCCAGTTGAAATACCATGGGTCCTTAATCAGAATGTAAAAGATTTCCCATTCTTCATAACAGGCAGAGTGTTTTCCTGCATATGCATTATGCTTCCAGCAATCTCCAGACCATACCATGTGAGTAGTATGGTTAAACTGCTAGACATATGTCTCTTGGACCTTAAATCTCCAAATGTAGAGTTTGATATCAATATGAATGGGTGGGAAGAAGCAGAAGGAGAAGAGGTAGGTCACAACCTGATAAGGTGGGGCATGAGCCTTGACAGGTTGATGAGGTCTCATTATTCTGAGACCAGAGGCAGGCTGGTGGTCTGTATATAGTTTTGGGAACTATCTCTTTGCTAGTTGACAAGCACAGGTTAGAACTATTAATTCAACCTGCGGATTTGTGGTATGGGCTGGAAGATATTGTGTTTTGACCACTATGGTATCTGAGATGAATGCATAGCCTACTCCATGTAGTCCTTCATATTGGAAGGCACTGCCATCTGTACACCATGTATAAATGACCTGAGGTAGTGCTCCTTCCTGCGTTTGCATTGGATGGGGTAATAACTCTTCGAGAGTCTCAATGCATGAGTGTGATGGAGGGTATTGTAGAACTGGTTGGGAGAGAAGATTTTAAATGTTAATTGGTGGACATGGCTGAAAAGTCAGTGTTGTGTTCTCTACCAATGCCACTTGAAGGGAGAGAACTTGAGAGTGAGGTAATGTTTGAAGGCCTTTATATGTTAAAAGGTGTGACAGAGGAGAACAGACAGTAATGGGCGACTCAATGGTGGGCTTCATAAGGAGGTGCTTTTGATCTGGGATTTCAGGATACAGGTTGGTACATCCTGAGAGGCTCTTTGTAAAGCAGTTGAGGAATTCAGATGGGGTTTCAGCTCTTTCCTGGATGACCCTTTGGACTTTATTTTATAATTTACTGCTGTAAGGGAAGCCCTAAGGAGACCAGCTAAGAGACAGGTTACAAACCTATTTCTTGCTAGGATGTCTCCTGGATTATTGTAATCCCATGCAGGCTTCTGGTCTGGGACTGCCCTAGCCCACTGGGTAAGTGTTATCTCTTTGATGGAGATCATCTGCATGAGCCCTAGCCTGATCCCAGACTCGCTTATTCTCTTCTGGGAGGAGATTGTTGGTAAGGATCATATAAACATCATGAAAGGATAGGTCATAGAATTGGGTAATATACTGGAATTCTTTAATAAAAGTGGAAGAATTGGCAGTATAGGACCGTAACCTTTTTTTTTCTATTTGGGAGAGCTCAGATAATGAGAATGGGCCATTTACTCTGACTAAACCATCCACCTCAGCAACCTCTCACAAAGGGAGAACAGGAGCTGGTTTAGATTGCGGAGATACAAAAGTCCCAAGGTAGAGTGGGAACAAGTAGTAGGAAGACTAGGGGCAGTTGGTGAGCTGAAAGTGGCTGACAAGGAGAGTTGACTTGGGGGATGACCTGTTTCCGAGGAGGGGAAAAGGGAAACTGACGGGACTGGAAGAGAGGAAACTGTGGGCTTTGGCCTTAGTTTTAAGGGGAGGCTCATTAGCTGGATCAAAAGAAATTGTTTCATCCTGTTCTGACTTCATAGTTGGCAACAGCTGGGTAGGGGAACAGGAGACACAGAGAGAAGGCTTGGAGCGAAGGTAAGAGAAGGCTTTTACATAAAGTGTCTCTTTCCATTTCCCAGATCACTCACAATAGTTGTAAATATTGGGATCTAGTGTTCTGATATGCAGCCATTTAGATTGATTATCTAAAGGATAATGAGGCCAAACTGTATTACACAAGCAAACAAGTTTAGGGCCTTTCAAATCAGGTGCCAGGTGTAAAGGCTTGAGATTTTATAGGAGGCATCCCAAGGGGGTATGTGAGGGTATGAAGTGCAGGGTTCACATGGATGAGAGGTGAGGGAAACAGGCACTTCAGCCTGTAGTCACAGGCACCCCCTGGACTCAGGGAGGACCAAACAGGGACCAAGCCATTCAGAGGGTCATCATCCAACTCAACGGGTGTCGAGCTTAGCCTGGCTAAGCCAATGGAGAAACTCAGGTGCTTTGTATCAGGGCTTCAATAGAAGCTAGAGGGCTAGAGAAAACCTAACTCTCAGGAAAGGATTAATACAGAGGAAAGGGCTGAAAAAGGGAGACTTTGTGGCTCCTTTTCTGCAAACATGGGGAAGCACAGGAAGGGATGCTTATAACTGCCTGATTGCAGCTCTGAGGATGGAGGGTGTGGACAGGTGAAGAGGGCCAGGATAGCTTTAAAATCCGTGGCTGGGGGTACCTCTGCTTCCAAGAGTAGTAAATGTATGCCAGACACTCAACACTCACTTCCTCAGACCCATGGAAACATTTACACTGACCAAGAGGGGAACTTACCTAATTTCCGCTGTTAGATGGAAATCTGAGCAATCGGTGAGCTGGTAGTTTGGTTCATTACAGATGTACTGGACATAAGTGATAGAGTCCTAGGGAAGAGCACAGATACCAAGGGAGTCCATCCTGGGTTTTGGACCAAAAATTTAAGAAAATCGGTTGCAACTCTGGGTTTGGTCACAGGTTTCAGCACCAACAATGTAAGTATATTTGTTGCAACAACTCTGGGAAAAGGTGTACTGACTACCTGGAGAATCAGGCAACACCTTGAGCTGCTTAGGACAGCTCTGATGGCTGAACTGCAAGCAGACAGTTCACCCCTGGAGGGCGAGGTATCTGGACAAGTCAAGCTGCTCAGAACAACAGCTCTGTCTTGAAGATATCCCAGATACCTGGAGCTGTTTAGCATAACTCTAATAGCTGAAACTGCAAGGAGACAGTTTAGCCCTGGAGGAAAAGTTATCCCAGACACCTCGAGCTGCTCAGAAAAACAGCTCTGTCCTGAAGGTGTACTGGACACCTGGAGCTGTTTAGCACAGCTCTGACAGCAGGAACTGCAAAGAAGCAGCCCAAACCTGCAATGGAAATTTTTCTGACTTCTTGGGAAAGTCAAGCCTGGAACTGATTCAGCAGGGAAGCATATTCTGACTGTTCAGGAAAGTCAAGTTATACCTGGTGTGATGGGGGAATGGACTCCCCGCAGGATGTATCAATTCTGCTCCTCTCCTGAAGAGCTGCTATAGCTGAGCTTTGCTCAGCCCCCACTTAAGGGGGCTTCCTAGCAGAGCTCTGCTTCTTGGCCTACGATGTTGCTTATTTTGCTTCACTCTGGAAAAAAGGGCAGCCCCTGCAGAAATGTAACAATCTCCTCCAGCTCCAGAGAAAAATGTTACTTTTCAGCTCTCTCTTCCTCTGTCCACTGAGGGACTTCTCAGCAAAGATCTTTGGTTCAGCTCCCCTTTCTCTACTCTTTCAGCTCTCCCTTGTTTTGTCCACTGGGGGATGTCTCAGCAAGGATGTTCTCTCTGCCAGTGAATAAAGATCTTTACACCCAAAACTCTTTTGAGAAACAGATTTATTGTGGAAGGAGGAGTCCAGGAGAATAGCTATTTCGTCCAGGGTAGAGAGAACAGTCTTTTTCATAACTGACCAGAAAGGGTGGTTTACACAGCATGTCTTGGGGGTAGAATCAAACAAGGGTTGACCTGGGGCCCAGGCTTCTACTGTCCTGTAGGTTTCATAAGTCACTTGGCCAGGGGCAGAGATGGCGATGATCTGAATTACCCAAACTTTGTTTCTTTTGCCCTGATCTGTGCCATCTTTCCCTAGTTATAGGCTCCAGGGTTAGGTTTGGATTTCTTTAGCCAGCTTCTTTTCGTTACAAATCCAGTTTTCAAAGCACCATTTACTAAAGATCTTGTCTTTACTCCAATGAATATGTTTGACTTTTTTGTCATAAATAAGTTGCCTGCCGTTATGTGAACTTATGTCTTAGTTTTCTGTTTCATTAATCAACAACATATCTGTTTTATATCAGTGCGGTGCTGTTTTTATTACTATATCACTATGGTATTACTTGAAACAGGGTACAGTTTTTTTGAAGATTGGTTTGATTATCTGGGGAAGTTGCTTTCATATGAATTTGTAATCAAATTTGTTCTTTTCAAATATCATACCTTGTATAAATTATATTCTGATTGTTGAAACCCTTCACCCTTTCTAATCACCCTCTGATCTGTACTAATCCCCATTCCCTACAGTTCTTTGAAAAGTTTATGTCTCTTTATTTGTGACCCAGTTAGTTTAGTCATGATGAGGATCATCTGTGGGACTGAGGGGTTTGTACTACCATTTGAAACCTAGTTGGTATAGCACTGGGACAAAACTGAAGACACTGACTTCACATCACCCAGAATCCTTCAGTATCCAGGACTTCAGCAGAGAGCAGTAGTGTCCCATGAGTGTCCTCCCCACCCATCATGCATCATCGATAGGCCAGTCTTGTGCAGGCCCATTGCAAGCAGCCTCAGTACCATGGAGATCATGCTATACTTGCTCTGTCATGCCACAAGTCTGCATTTTACAGCTCTTCTGTTTCTCTTTCCACCTTCTATGTTCTTTCCACTCCCGCTTTTGCAGAGGTCCCTAAGCCTTAGAGGTAATTGCATAATGTTCCATTTAGGAGTGAGCATCCAAACATTCTATAAGAATTTTAAAATTTTTCTTATTTTTGTGTATATTGACTCTGAATTCATAGTTGAGATTGTGTCGAATCTGGACATTGCAATTGGTAGGTTGGTCATTTAGATACCATTAATACTTCTGGGTACATTTTCCATGGCCCAATATCTACATCAGTTTCTGTCTTTAATGTGAAGAGGTTTCCCTTAAAGAGAACTATAAATACTTGGTGCATTCATTACTTTTCTAGTGCTGTGATAAAATATCATTAACTAGGAAACTTATTGAATGAATGGCTTCTTTGGAACTTAATGTTCTAGAGAGGTAAGAGTCCATCATCACTATGACAGGAAGCATGGCACCAGAAGGAAAGGCATGGCAGTGCAGTAGCACCTGAGATCCCACACCTCAATCCACAAAAACTAAACATAGAACACTTGTAATGGTGCCACTCTTTTGAAAACTTAAATCCTATCCAGTGACATATTTCCTCCAGCAAGTTCACACCTCCTAGTCCTCCCAAAATATCAAGCAAAGGGAAATAAGTATTCAAATGCCTAAAAGTTAGAGGGAACATACTTTTCAAGCCAGCACTCTTGATTGGATTTATTCTGATGTATTTTCTTGAGGCAATAGTGAACAGACTTATTCCTATGATTTAGTTCTCAGTTCATTTGCCATTGTATATAGAAAAGTTTTGATATTTGTATGACAATTTTGTACCCAGTCACTTTTATAAAAGCCTTTATGATATCTAAATGTTTCCCGGTAAACTCTTTCAACTCTCTCATTGATAGAATTGTATCATCTGAAAATAAAGGTACTTTAGCTTCTTTTCTTATTTTTATCCCTTTTGCTTATGCCTTTTGTCTTTTTCTTCTAACATAGACTTTAGTGCTACATTGAAAAAGAATGGGGGAAGTATATATGCTTGTATTCTTCTAGTTTTTTACTGGAAATGCATTGAATTTCCCCCTTCTTAGTGGAATATTGGCTATATTTTCCAACATAAGGCAAATATTATGTTGAAATACATATCTTCTATTCCAAATTCTTCATGACATTAGTCCTGAAAATGATGAAATTTATAAAAAATAAATAAACAAATAGATAACTTCACAGATTCCAGTGTGTTTCCTGTTCTTGAGTCCATTTATGCTATTTAATTTATATTTATTGATGTTCATATATTGAACCAGCTCTGAATTGCCTCTCTGGAATAAAGTCAACTTTATTATGGTAAATGGTTATTTAAATATACATAAACACACATGTATATATGTGCACACACACATACACACTAAACATATATATGTATATACATACACACATATACATATATGTGTGTGTGCATATATATTGTGGGGGTACATGTGAAACCAAGTGTGCAGGTGGGAAGTAGAGGACAACTTACAGGAATGTGTTCTTTCTTTTCATCATGTGGATTTAGGTCATCAGGTATAGCAGCAAATGACCTTACCTGTTGAGCTATTTAACTACGCTGATATATTCCTGATTTTAGTTAGAAAGTATCTTCTTGAGAAATTTTGCATCTATGTTCATGATGGATACTGATATGTACTTTTCTTTTTTGTTGAATATTTGTCTCCTTTTAGTATCAAGATGGATATTTTATAAAAGTACTTTGGTGGTGTGCCCTCTTTTCCTTCATTTATGGGACAGTTCAACAAACTTTGGTCAAGTTCTCTGAAGGTCTGAGAAAATTTATCTAGGTCTGAAATTTTTTTTTAATTTAGAGATTGTTTTAAGTACTTCTGCAAATTCATTGCTTGTTACAGGCCTGAGTATTTGGATAATGAAATTTTCATTGATTCTTTGGGAAAATACCATCATGTACCCCATTCCCACTCATTTCCTAGGACTCCCATACTGGCCATCCACCCCTGTAACATCCTCCAAAAAGAAAATAAAAAACACAAATATTTTTTAAAAATAAGAAAAGTTGAGTATTGTTCTTTACTGGATAAGATATCAGAAGCAAGAAAGATCTCCTATGGTTAGGGATCTGTAAGATAAACATAGTAAAAATGGTCATCTTACCAAAGCAAGCAACAGATTCAACATAATTCCCATCAAAATTCCAACAAAATTTTTTACAAAATTAAAAGAATACTCAATTTTGTATGGAAAAACAAAACATCCAGGAGAGCTCAAACAATCCTGTACAATAAAAGAATGCCCAGAGATATCACCATTCCTGAATTCAAGCTCTACTACAGAGCTATAGATGTAAAATGTATTGGCTTAAAAGAGAAAAATGGATCAGAGTAATTGAACCAAAGACCAAGACATAAATCCACACACTGATGGGCACCCAATCTTCAACAAAGAAGCCAAAATTATACAAAGGAAAAAAGAAAGCATCTTCAACAAATGGTGCTGGTCTAACTGGTTGTCAGCAATTAGAAGAATTCAAATTGATCCATAGCTATCATCCCACTCAAAACTCAAGTCCAAGTGGATCATAGACATCGAAATAAATCCAGATGGATGGATAAAGTATCCATCTTGATATTAAAAGCAGACAAATATTCAACAAAAAAGAAAAGTACAGACTAAGATCCATCATAGACATAGATGCAAAACTTCTCAACAAGATACTTTCTAATTAAAATCAGGAATATATCAAAGAGTAATTAATCTGATAGAAGACAAAATGGGGAACAACCTTAAATTCATTGGCACAGGAGACAACTCTTCCTAAACAGAACAATGATAGCACAGGCACTAAGATCAATAATTAATAAGCTGGATATTAGATTTATAGAAAAATCTTCTGCAAACCAAAGGACAACATCAATATGGTCAAAATTGAAGCCCCATAGACTGGAAAAAGATTTTCAACAACTCCACATCTCACATAGGTCAATATTCAAAATATATAAAGAACTAAAAAAAACAGGACACCAACAAATTAAACAATCCAGAACAATCCAATTTAAAAATGGATTTAAATAGAGAATTTCCCACAGAGAAAACCAAAATGGCTAAGAAACACTTAGCAAAATGTTCAACATCCTTAGCCATCAGGAAAATGCAAATCAAAATGATTCTCAGATTCCACCTCAACCTGTCAAAATAGCTAAGATAAAAAACACAAGTAACAGCTCATGCTGGAGAGGAGGTAGTGTGAGGGGAACACTTCTCCATTGCTGGTGGGAGTGCAAAATAGTACAGCCACTTTTAAAGTTAGTGTGGAGGTTTCTCAGAAAACTAGAAATCAACTTACCCCAAGACCCAACTATACCACTCTTGGGCATGCACCCAAAGAATGTTCAATCATACAATATGGATATTTGCTCAACTATGTTCATAGGAACTTTATTTACAATAGACTGAACCTGGAAACCCAGATGTCTCTCAACCAAGGGATGGAAAAGAAAATGTGGAATATTATTCAGCTGCTTAAAACAAAGACACCAGAAAATTTCTAAGCAAATGGATGGAAACAGAAAAAAATCATCCTGAGTGAGGTAACCCAGACAGAGAAAGACAATCATGGTCTGTACTCACTGATATGTGGATATTAGCTATAAAATAAAGAATAATAGTGCTATGGTCCACAGACCCAGAGAGACTAGGTAGCAAGGAGGGTTCATGGTGGGGACACACAGATATCCATGTAAAATGGAAAAAAAAGGGATTTTATGAGTAATGTGAGAGCAAGTGGGCATGGGAACACGAGCAATCAGGTTGAGGGAGGAGATAAAGAGGGAGAGTTCTATAAGAGACTACTGGAAAGGGATACATTTCAGGATTGGGTAAAAACATTTCCAAGAATGTCCAAGGAAGACTCCAATTAGACTCCTAGCAATAGCAGATATGTAGT